AGATTCCAGCAGAGCATATATTTGACGTGGTTGTCACGTTAACCACAACCTTCTGACACATGTCTCATTGATAAGCCCTCTGTGGGGCATTCAAATCTACCACCACAACCACAAGCAACAATTTCTTTTTTCATCATTTGGTATGCATGTACTGAGTCCGTAAAAACAAACCCATTCATGTCGCTTTCCAGGGTCTGGCTGGCCACGAGGCGGCAGCTGTCATGGCTGCCTGCTGTGAGCCCTGAACAGAACTGACAGCAGGGTGTGAATGGAGACCAGGGGGAAAAGAGTCCATATCTGTAACTCCTGGTCCCAGCTCGCCTATCAGAACTTAATGTGTTGCAGCAGCTTTGTCCCGGCTTCTCCTTGGCCTCTGAGTCAACAAATCTCCGTTTCCCTTCCTCCTCAGATGGAAACGCAAGGGGGATTCTAGTCTGAGGTGCTTGGTGTACAATTTAAGTTCTGAAAACTGTTTCCCTTAGAAGTTGAGATCTATAATCACAGCCCATCGTTTACAGCATGGCGTTACATCTTATTGATGCAAGGTGGGATTTTTTTTCTACTCCTTTTTTTAAACTGACACAAAACCCAGTTTGAGCTTGTGCTGAATGTTTGCTGCATGAATGAGCGACACAGGCCAAACATGGCTTTTGTTTCTACCCTTTTGCATGGGTCATTGAAAGATTAGAGTTTAAATATTTAAAGATGATTAATGCTCCCACTGGTTGCTTGAGAAGGAGTTACAACTTAAGCATTTCTGTAAAAACACTATATCAAATTTTCATGTTTTTGTATGTATTTTTAAAAAAAACGTCCGAAGAAAAAAGCAACAGAATTTCAAATCAAGCGCCCAAAGAAAATTTTGGATATTGTCAAGAATTCAAAAGGAATCTCTCTCTCTTGTTGCCAATAACGTTTTGGTTTTGTGGATTCTGGCCAGTAAAAGGGCGGACTTAAATGCTGAAAGTCCCAAAGGTTTCAAAGCCTCTGCAGTGCTCATTTTACGCTGCAAAGATATAATCTCTATGATCTCACCACTGGGCGAGAAATATGCGGAGCATCTTAGTCAGGTCAGGTCACTCATTCATAGTAGGAACAGCATTTATCCTAACAAGCATGTTTTTTAACTGTGAGCTGGACGAAACCAATACATGCAAACTCGGGGCAGGAAGACCCCAGCAGAGGTTTAAAACAGGATGTGTCAGTGTCAGACACCACACCATACACCCCTAAAACACTTATTCACATTCATATTAAACATGCTTTGCAATTACTCACTTATAAAAAATGTGAGAGTGCACAGAGATTGCAAAAGAGGCTGATCAGGTCTGGGAACGCGTAATTATGCAGCCGGTATCAAAACCCCCACCACCACGGATGGTGTGAAACACCACTTTACCTCATTGTTACTGGAAAATGAGTCCCTGGAAAATGCTGCTATCGTGCTGTTGATTTTGGTAACCAGGCAGAGCCTCAAACAGCCTACGTCAACCAGCCACTTGCTAAAGTTCAGTATCAGACCCACACATTTTAGACCTCATATCTCAATTTCAATGTAACTCAGAGAACAAGCTGATTACGTGAATTGCCCAAAATGCTGAACTATAACCGGTACTTCTGTTCGTTTCATCTGTCTCTGATATAGGTCCTCACATCAGAGGCTTTCATCTTTGAGTCAATTTGCAAGGCCTGCACATTTTTTTATATCTTGTACTGAATCTGATAAGTCTCCAGGCAACATTTATTCATAAAATATAGCTATTCATGCAATATATCTATTCAAAACTTTATGCATAATCATATATCAGTATTGTATTAAAGGTAAGTTTTTGTTGTACATTTATATTCTTTCTGGTCACACCACCCAGCCATTTATCTCTTTAACTATCTCTCCATTTGTGTAACATTCATCTGTCTGTCTGTGCTGTGAAATCTAAGACAGGTGCAACAGGAAACAGGGTTTGCACGGCTGATGAGTTCATCAATTATTTAGTCGTTAACTCAAAACAGACAGCCTTGATAAATCAGCAGACTAAATGCATTCTGCTGTGACAAGCTGAAAGGCCCCTATCTTAACATCATAATGTTTAAAATGCACAGCAATTATTCTTCACAGCGGCGTGAAATTGATTCCAAACATTTTCTCACACTGTTTGATCTTTTGCTCCCCCGAGACGACCTTTAATAAAATTCATTTTCGAACTTTGACAATTTATGGTGCATCTCACCTGAACATATCAAAGTTTCTTCTTCTTTGAACTCTTGTGTGAAGACTGGATCAAAAACTGTTTCCCTGTTATCACAGAGGAGGTTTTCCACTGATACAACAAACTGTGGCTATATTTTATTAAGAGAGAGACCTTCATTGACAGAAAGACATGATAGTCTGTGATGGACAAATATTTAGTCAGGCGGCTGCTAGACAAAAGCTCTGAGAGATCAGCGCCACCTACTGGAGTCTCTGTGAAGACTTGGAGTCAAACATTACAAAAGTAAGTTAAAACAACTTTTAATATTCTAACCTAATTAACACCTTTAATATCAGTTCAATTTTTGGCGAAAGGTTTGATAAATTGAATGAAAACTATAAAGCTACAAGGGAGAATTACCCTCAAAACTGAAGCTAATATGAATCCATTAAAAGCTAATTCACCAATCTAAATAGGGTTATCCAGTTTGCATCTGGTTTCACTGAAGGGATTTTGAAGGATTTGCTCTCAGATCAGGACCAAAACAGATTTAACTGGAGCATGCTTACACACTTACATTTTACATTTTGAAGCTGTTACGCAGCAAACAAGCCAGTTGAGTTCATTTTTACCTTGAAGATGAACTGACACAAATCTTTTTGTAAAATACCTTTTTCTCCATTGGCCTCCCAGCTAAAACTGGTTGTTTTTCCGACAAACTTAAAATGTTCTTTTTGCTTCACAAAAGCAGTTATTCCTATAATTATTTTCAAACGAAAAAGTAGATAAATCATCCTACTCCATATAAAAATTATATCATAGCATATCAATACTTTCATTATAAACATCTGCAGTTTGTAAAGCTTGTTGCCCCATGTATGTGTGAGTTCTCTCCAGGTACTTCTTCCAAGAGTCCTGAAGACTGAAGACTAAAGACATACACTGGTTTACTTCAGATAGTTTTAATTTTAGCACAACAGTGGCGCTCTGCACAAGTCGAAATTTTACTGGACAACAACTACAATTAAGAACATATGGGGCTTTCTGGAGTGCATGCTGTGTTCAAGTAGTCATTACTGTGTGAGGCTGAGTGTTACGAGCCTTTAAAACTGTCAACACCAGATGGATCTGTCAGCTATGTGCAGGAGCAGCTAAAACGTTGGTAACTGAAAGGGAAAATACCTGCAGTCCTTTCAGTCTCCAGCTGCAATTCAGAACATAATGTCTTACCTTTGCAGACGAAAAATAGCACAGCTTGTCATTCAAAATTTCTTGAAGATTAGAAAACAGCGTCTACTTTCAAACTTAACTTTTGTCCATGTTCTTCTGTAAGTTGCCGTTAAAAGTTTCATTTAGGTCCATCAAAGGCTTGCAGTGTAACTTTATGCAATACTTTGTTCCTGTATTGAAAAGTGATACTTAGATTATAGCGTCCTTTTAACTTGCAAATAGCTTTTTTACCCAAAAAGTATTTTTGTTTGTAGAGTGCAGATTTTTTAAATATTTTCAGTATTTCTAACACTGAAAATGATGATGTAGCCAGATAGAGCTGGAATCAGGGCTGAGAAAATATGAAGTATTAAAAAGGCACGTACAACGTCATGCTGTGATGCTAAACAAAGTGCCTCCCAATGAGCCACTGATGAGCACAAACAACATCGTGATAATCTTTATCCTTTGTAATGCTTGCTGTGTTAGTATAGAATTACTATTCTATTCAATTACTACTTAGTTTGGAGTTAAATTTTTTAAATATATATGTTTAGGAAAATGTATTGTTTGAGTTACTCAATATTACATGTTTTTTGTCTGACTTGAGTGACACCATCTTGGATTTGATTTAAAATGCTGTCATCCTACAACGTAATGTAAAAGACATCATTTTCAAGTCCATCGATTTTACTTCAGTCGATTGCCCTGTTTTTCAGGGTTTTTTTTGTGCCGCAAGGTCTTCAAATATAAGCAAAATACTTTCAAAAGGGCAGAAAAACATTGGCTTTATCTTACAACAATACTGGTAATATATTTCTAATTCATGAGGGAGTCATGTTTATGTGACTATGTGTGAAAGTTAACTCAACAATAATCTATTTCAGTTCTGGTGGAGCAGAAATTGTAGAGGGCCAAACACATGCCAGCTGGCACAAATACATGAGCTGGATTTTAGTCACAACAGCTGGGGACTGATGCTCTGAAATTACACTCAAAGAGCCTTTTTCCAACATAGTTTAAATATTTGGTCTGTTCTGCAATGCTCTGGCTTTTTAGCTGTTTTTCTCTATCTGAGCAGATGCTTTTGTGACCTCAGTGTGCAGATAAATACAATAAAATTCAAGAATTATTTTTTTATTATTTCAAACTTTATAAAACTAAAAAGATCAAGCCTTAAGAAGTTTAGAGTTACTGAAAACTGTGGAAAACAACATTAAATACACTTTGGATGAAAAGAATGTACAACAAAGAGAGCATATTGCCCACTACAAAAGTATTTAACTATTAATATAAACTACTCTATTACACATCTATACATGAGTCTTTTCTATAAACATGACAAACATGAAGAATTAAATGCATGGGTTTCACATAGCATGACTGTATATGTGTCGTTTTCCTCTTAGATTCAAACCAAAACAGGGAAACCTTCAGATTGTCAGGGAATTCAGTTATTGTTAGAAGCTGCATTATTTTGTGATTTACTCGATAGCTTTCTGGGGAGCTAACGACACTGCTGAAGGTTGTGGTCCATTAAGTCCAAAAGGATTAGAGGGAGCTCTATTTCCACCAGTTTGGTTTTTTGTCAGGTTCGGAAATCTATTTGTGTTGGCTCATGACGCTTCGGAGAAAATCTTCAAAGCGCGGGGCGGCTGAGTGTGGAGCCGCAGCCTCCCTGGCAGGTTCATCCGCAGCCTTTTCCTCATCAGCCATTGGCTCGTCGGCAGAGGCAGCGGGTTTGGCAAGACGCAGGCGGCAGTTGTAGTCGTATTCGGGGTCGCAGTCGGGATCAGGAAGGATTATGCCGTCCTTGGTCGACTTTGGGGCTTCAACGCTGGAGGGTGAAGCAAACTTGCCACAGGTTGGATCGTACGGATGGCAAAAGGGCGCGGCTGGTGCTTCTGGGCCAGACTTGACTGGAGTGCAGTCTTTGTCATAGTGCACATAGCAGTCGTAGCCCTCCTTGGTCTTGCCGCGGACTCCGAGATGATAGCGGACCTGGTTGAGTGATTAATTTGTGTTTTTGGTTTGAAACAGATGCAAAGCAGATTCAAGAGGAAAAGCATTTTTCAATACCCATTTAATTTTACTACAGTATTTTTATCGACAAAATCAACGAGTAATTCAATGAGCAAGATTACACCGGATTAGTCAAGAAGAAAAAACGATTCAGATCTACTAACGTGACTTCAGATTCAGACCTGGTGCTCGGGGAGCTGTGGAGGGGGGTGGCGCAGGGCAGCGGCCGCCGCCAGTATGCAGTAGGGGTTTTGTCTCGGGTCGCAGGCCAGAGGGGCAGCGGCGTGGGCGGCCTGCTCCTTGGGAGCGTACTCCAGGACGGGCTTGGTGAGGCCGGACAGCTTGGTGGCCGTCAGGGGGTTGCAGTTGCCGTCAAAGAGGGGGTTGCACTGTTGCTCTTTGGGCACCCCTCCGGCGGCCAGGTGAGCAGGGGCGGCCACGCCGGTCACACACAGAGGATCCACGGCTGGGTCGCAGCTGGGATACATCAGGTGGTAGAAGCCGGTGGGGGCTTTATGGACCAGAGGTGGCTGGCAGTAGGGGTCCTTGGGGTCACATTTCAGGGCAGCGTAAGATGGAGCTGGGCCCAAGGCCGGACGGTAGCCGTATGCCGCTCGCAGGTGGTACTGCAAGCACTCCACGTCTTCAGGGAGGCAGATCCTCAACAGCTCAGCCCTCTGCTCCGCGGTCAGGAAGGGCTCAAGGACCGGGGCATAGTAATAATAACCAGTGGAGCTTTTCAGGGGCATAGGCAGCAAAGGCGTGAAGATGGGAGCCGGCACCTTAGCTGGAGCTGGAGCGGGCTCCGGGGCAGCAGCTTTGGGAAGGATGGGGTAGAGGCAGTAAGGGTCAATGTAGGGGTTGCACATCCCGATGGCGGCCGACCTGAAGGGGGCGGGCATCACCACAGCAGCCTTGGGCTTGCTGGTGGACTCGGCAATGCATTCTGGATCATCGGAATCAGCACAGGATTTATAGATTTCACTGAGGTGTGTAAGGTAGTGGTTGAAAGTGGGTCCTTCTTCAGATCTGTGCTTGTTCTGTAAGTAAGCGAGGTACAGGCGATCCAGGTCCTCAACCTGAGGAACAGGGCGGCAAGGAAGCAAAATGAGGAAACCTGTTATAATCCAAAAAATAACTACATGTTTGTACAGAGAAAACAAAAATAGAGCTGGGTTTGTACACATTGAGATGATTTTATTGGAAAACACATGCTCTTTGTCTATTTTTTCTCTTTGAAGCTGTGAAGTCTAACTCCTACACAACAGAGCCCCCCTGAGCAGCAGATCATTCAACGTCGTCCCCCGAACGGCACAAGCATTATGATCAATCAAACAAGCCTTTCGTAAAAAAAAAAAAGATGCTGAAAACCGAACCTCAGCTCCGTGGTGCAAAAATGCTGCCTTAACATGTAGAGACAAAACAAGAACTGTTCCATAATCATCACTGTGAGGCTCTGAATAATTAATGTGAAACATGCTCCACTCACTCCCTCCTGGTTGTGGCTGTCCATAAAGTACTTGTACCATCCCCAGAAGTCAGGCACGCGTTTGAACTGGGGCACAGCCAAGACGGGGACATTTCTTCTGTTGCGAACCAGCTTTTTCAAGTTGGCCATGGCCTCGGCTTTCACATCATCAGACACCGCAGCCACTGTGGGGTAGAGGGACGGGAGCGCAAGAGAGCTGAAGCTATCATTCTGGTGCCAGAAATAATAGTGAATGAGAAAGCATTTTCTTTTGTGGGAAAACACTCTGGACTCCCGATGAAATGACATCAACTGGGACAAGGGATAATGAAACTTCTGTTCACAGAACTGTTTTCATGGATGTTTTATGCGCATGTGTTCTTTATACTTGTAATCAGAATATGCATTTCATCAGAATGGAAGTTTCCATCATTAAAAATCACAAAAATCTCAATTAATGGCATTAACTTATTTAAGTCATACCCTAGCACACTATGTTTATGTTTCGTTTTCAGTTTTTTCTATGAAAGCAAAAGAAAAGCCATACTATTTTGAAATTATGGGAACTTAGCATGTTTGTGTTTAATATTGATTATGTTTTCCATTTCTGGTCTGCTAAGTTCACCTAAAGGAAATGTTTTGTTTGGGGACAAAGTGCACAAAAAAGCCTCCAAGCATTTCTTTTAGAGAGATTCACTACATCATTATGTAAGCCCATGAGATGGTACCCTTGTTTACTCTGCTATGGAGGTGACTTTAACTCGTGATTAATTATTTAAACAAATACTCAAGAATATATATTGAAATTTCCACATGAAAAAAACACCGCAAAATTCAGAGCGAGCTCATTTTAAATAATTCAAACAAATACCTAGGAGTATTTGTCTCAACTTCCACTTGAGAAAACCCTCCTAAATTGAGTAAGTAACATCTCTTAAACAGCTGGGTCCAAATGATGAACCCTCCACTGGTTAAAAGACACACAGAAGAATTGTAGAAGATTACGGTCTCTTTTGTTATAGCCGCAAACCGGTAAACACTAATGTTAATGGCCCGATTCTGAAAATGATAAAAAATTAATTAGATCCCACACAGAACAAGCGCAATAATGTTGCACGAATTCAAATCCAATTTGACTAAATGACACCAACAGGCTTTTATATTTAGCTGTTTTTGCCGTTTATTCATGTTACTGGAGTGTGGGATTTAACAATGATGCACATAAAAAAATGCTGTAATTTGGGATTTCTTATTTTTCCGAGGAATCTACTGGGTTTGCTCTGCATCATTCAATGCAGGAAAATGAAAATCTCTTTGTTGGTGTTTCACACACATCTCGCATCTCAAATCATCTTCTCTCTCAAACGTTCAGTTTTCAACTTATGTATCTTCAAGACTCTTCCAGTGATTTTTTAAATCACTGATTGGTCATCAGTAACTTAGAAATGCTCTCTGTTGAGGAAGCTGTCATGACAATGTGTCTGGTAGTCTACAGGTGAATTTGTTCCTTAGGAATGTAATGATGATGTAATGACTAATCATAGCTGTGTAAGCGATATTTTGGGCTTAAGAGAAAAAATTCTTCATGGGTGGACGTTCTTTTTTCATTCTGAGCCACTTGGGCCATGTCACAATTCCTCACCTTCCTCCTGTTTCTGCTGCCCCAGTGGAACCGCCCCCAGAAGGTCTGGAAGAACACAAGCAGTCGTCACATTAGCAGCAGCAATATTTGCAAAGTCAAACCAGATGTTGAGCTTGGTCTGAACATCATGGGGGAAACGCTGACCTGCTATTAAGCCTCTGGGTAAAACACGGCAGGTTGTGGAGCTCTGGCGCCCCGACATAGGCTGCATCCTGCAGATTAAATGCCCCCCATTACTCCTCCTACAGCCCTCTGCCAAGCCCCAAGCATGCTGTACCGTTTAGCTTTGAACCAGACCAGAGGAGTTTATGCATTACTGAGGGCCTCCTTAAAGTTACACTGTAAAACTACAAAGAATGGGCCCTCACACAAACCAATTACTAATACACTGTAAAAGTGGCCCGTGGGAGGGACAGGACGTGTCTGAGCGTCTTCAGCTCTGCTGGGTTTTTGTGCAGAGGTTTATGGCTGCAAGAAAAACAGCCAAGTAACTTCTGGCTTTTCACGGTTATTAATCTGTAAGATTTTCAAAAGAAGAGGTGGGTGTGTCTTTGTTATTCCAATTAGGTTTCTTAATGTGAGAGAGTATCTTGGCTTGCTATTTTACAGCTAAAGAGAAAAAATAACTGTAACTTTTACAACTTTGTCGTATAAATTATCACATTCGGGACCACATCCTGATCCAAGGACCTCAGTAGGAAACCAGTAAGTTAAAATCCTTGAGAGAAGTACAGTGTATTGAAACATTTAAAAATGCTCATTGCATACTTCTTTCTGGCTGAATATTGGTTTAAAACAATAGAACTGTCATCTTCTCCAATTTTCAAATAGTTTTAATTATTTTGAAAAAATACTTACGGTCTTCAAGCAAAAGCAGAGACATATACAGAAATGGTAAATCTAATTCTACAAAGAAAAATATACTGAATTTCCTTGCATAAAAACAAAAGTGCATTCATTTTTTTGTCATTACAAGTAATTGGGGCCTATCAAATAACTGCTTTGCTGTCACAGAATCACAAATTAAATTATGCTTTTTCCGACCATATTCATTATAATTGGTTGCTGTGTTTTTAAAGTCAGAAAAAAAACATGAATATGGCTACAGAAATTTCAAATTATGTGTGTGAGGCTGTGTGTGAGGCTGTGTTTGACGCGTATTGTAGCATTCTCATCAAATATTACAGAAATAAATTAAATGAATTATGCTAGTTTTATCTGTCAATTTTCATGAATGCAATAAAGTGGGTCGAACATATGAAACAAATGAGAAATAATCTAAAGAAGAAACTATTACGGCTCGGTTTTCAATAAATAAATATTTAATCTCTAAGACTGAAAGTAGATTTTTCCTCAAATGGCACAACCCACAGACGACATAAACATTTAAAGAATATGATAGTTTGACATAATAGTTTGATGCCTAAAATAAGCGTTAGAATGTTTAAAATCACCACCTTTGACATAGCTTCAGCCCCTCTGAATATGGAAACACAGAGTTCCAGGTAAATGATTGCACATCGTGTCAGACATGAATCTGAACCTATTGAACATTGTTAATGAAGTCTCACCTGGTAATAAAACAGCTACTAACAGGAATCCAGTGTGGATCAGGGAAAGAGATGGTCTTCCAGCACGAGCCATTTTCAGTTTTTTTTGCTTTCTGATGGAGGACAGATTAAACAATTTTCAATGTATTTGCAGAATGACATTCTTACAGTTGGCTAAAATGCATCTCAACTTTGTTTGGCCTTGTTGCTTTTGTGGAGAGTTTTTGAGTTAGCTCTTATACAAAAAAATCCTTAAAAACACAACTTATTTAAACAAAGGGAGCGCTTTTATTTAATGAGCTTTCGCCAAGACAGTAGAGAGGATTGAGGACATGTTGTAATAGAGCTTTTCAGGGATTACAGAGAGAAACAAAATGCTTTATTCATGAAAATCAGAACATCAAACAAAGTGACTGAACTCAACAATCAAACAGCCTGAAGCTTAATATCCTTTGTTATGTTACTGTTCAGAAAAAAGCAGATTGTCTTCTCTAGTTTCCGTTCGACTTGTCAAGCTTCTGATGCTCTCTCTTTCAAGCCAGTTCTAATCAATTTTGTTTCCAGCAAGTCATGTTTTTAAAGTTAGTCACTTTAAAGTAGACTCGTCATCAGTCCTTACCTGCAAAGGTGCTGAGGATGTAGCCTCCTGTGATCACGTCTGGATCCAGAGGCTGTCTTGGGAGGGAGGGGTGGGGTTGCTGCTCTGTGGTGATCTGATTCGTCTACACCCTGTCGCTCTCTGCTCCCCTGTGTGGGACTGACACGCGGGGAAACATTTTTAAGGAGCCCCCTTGATCATTAAAAACAAAAAGGCATGTCATACAACTCAAGCATGCTGTTAGAGGCTCCTGGATTGGCTCCCGCGCGGCCCAACATCCAACCAATGGTGATCCTGTAATTAAGAAAGGTGGCCAGCATGACTGGAAAAAGAAGCATTTACAAGGTGCCGGGTAGTGCTGACTTTCCATCCTCATAGGTTCGGAATCTGAAATGATTTGCAAAGTGTCATAGTATCCGAGCTGATATTTGAGGCTTAAAACATTTGATTTACATCAGAGGCCAGTGGGTGTGGACATAAAAATGTCAGCTTTAATCCCACTGCAGCCTTTTAAAAGGTTGTTGTTGGCATTATGGCACTTTTTAAAAGAAACACCAGGGGCACAGAATAGGAGTATCATCGTCCTACTTCTGTTATGGACCGTTCACTGTTTTTCACTCACAGTTTCTCCCGAAAACACCATTTCTCCTCAATTTTACTGCAACTAGTAACTATTTCTGAAATACCTTCAGTGTTTCATCAGTACATCGCCAAACATGTAAGCTTTATTGTCCAGGATGACAAGAACATGGCTACATTTCACCTGAGTGATGCAATTTGTTATGAAATGTTGCACCAGCCTTGATAACATTTCCAAACTTGCTGTCAGAAGTCTGCTGCATTGCATTGCTCAGCTATTTAGTACTGGAAGAAAAAAGCTGTTGGAGAAAAACCCATCTGGGCCAGAGCACTTGGAGATTTGTGAAATGTATAACTCACTGGAAAGTTTTCACACTTTTTGATAAAAAAGTATCGGCTGCTAAATGTCCTGGTCTGTTACACATGTATATTTTATATGAGACAACTTGAAGGAAGCTTGAGTTTTTAGGAGAAACAGGCCTCATAAAAAACACGGCACTAATGAAGCAAACTGCCACTGCTGGAAAGAGCTAAGTCATTAGGATCAGTGTGCCAATGGCTCTGTTTGGTTGGTCCTAGATCCTGATGCCTGGGTTGTGCCACGTAGCTCTCACAGCCTGCAGCCTGCTTCAGTGGAACTTGCCAACGACTGTAGGATCTGTGGAAACTGCAAAGCTCGAGCTGGATAAGATCAAACAGCTCAGGGAGCCTTTGAGGGAACAACAGCCTTTGAAACATTCCCACACGGACATTCGTCTTTGTAAGCTGAACGCAGCAATTTTTCGATCATTTCTTTAATATCAATTTTTATTTTTAGAAGCCAACCCTTTCAAATTTATGACAGTGTACTTCCAGTCGTCAGGTAGCAATACGTACGTCATTCCTGACAGACACTGGGAAACCATTTGAACCATTACCATCTGTTGACCTGTTCCATCAATTTTCCAAACGTACAAATTGTTTTTTCTGAAATGACTTTTGACTAACGGCATCAGCCATTTGTCTGAAGCTTTTGGCCTCAACCCCCATTTATTTTAACTTGTTTTTGACAGCAAGCATAATTATGTTAACTTAGTGCTATGTTCACTGTACTTCAGTACTGTAAATCCTATTCAAAGGGTATGTGGACAACTGTAGATCTTGTTAGAGTTATAGATTTTTTCCCATTTAGCATGTTGATAATGTTTGTACACATACCATCTGGCAACCGCACAACCATTTCAAACATAAATCAATTAGATCCAGCTGCTGCTTTTGAGCATTTTTGTCACAGCTGTTCCTAAACACAGATTTTCTATAGCCAGTTTGTTCCTGAGGATTCACGTCCCTCATGTAAGAAGGATGATGATTCAGCCTTGGTACTTTACGCATTTCTAAATAAGTGGAGCTTTCACCAAGGGAAACAAGCTGTTGTCTTCTTATATTAACACGAAACTGATAGTAGGAGACATCAGTCTGTGTCAGTGAATCAGACAGGAAGGAGTTCTCACTGAAGAAATATCAGTTTAAATAAATCTTGTCTGAGTAAACATTCTCTAAAAAGTAGATTCTTGTCAAATTTTTGTGTTTTTAAGTAAAAACTCAAGTAAAAACAGTAATGATCACCAAGTTGGGTTGATGACCCTTTGTCTGAGTTTTTTTTTTTGGTCAAGTACTCAGGCATCCTCCTTCCTTTGTTCAAATAAATTAGTCACAATCAAGTTTCCCTGAGAGCCTGATGAGAGATACGTTAATTTGAGCTATTGTGGTCTAGAATCTAAGTTACAAGGCAAATGAAAGTAATGCATTTGTCTTTGTCTTTTTGGTCTATTGCCCACACACCAACACTACATACAACTAAGCTTAAGAAAAACCCATTCATGGAACTTTTCAGAAGATATTTATTACCAGTGTTGCCATGTGAACAGAGTCAGCAGAATCCTTAGTTTGCTAAATCCTGTTTGTTCCATTGATGGCATTGGACTATCTTTAGACAAGCAACTAATTATGCATTAGAAATGCACAGTTTGTTGCCAGCTATATTAAAAATAACTGGAGGCTTGAGAAAGCTTGTCTTGCACATTGTCCAACACAGAGCTGGCTGCCAACATTCTTGGCTTTGGACAAGACTTGATCAGACTGCTGATGGGGGATATTTTAAAAATTAAGTAGCTGTTTCTCCAGAATAGTCAGAGAATGTTGTGTTTATGTGAGCCGCATTGCCCTAAAACAACAGATTCAACAGGTATGGGGTTGTAGAAATAGTTGTGCACATGAGCCTTAAACATGCAGGGCATCCATTTCTTCATGTGAGTTTTACTAATATTTGTTTATGCAGGACGACCAAAACTTTCTGAAGCATTTATAATTAAATGGATCTTGTCTTCTAGAAGCTACAAGACCACGTTCATTCTCCAAATGAAAGCCAGATTCAGAAGCACAAATTGATTTAGAATGAGGTTTAAATGTAATGAACACCACCGTGTAGTGTATACTTTTTGGATATGTCAGTGCTGACAGCTCACTTTGATGCTTAGCTGAGTCTGTAAAACCTGCTTTCAAAAGCCTGTCGTGTACATTTTATATCTTTCAGAAGGCTCTTATTACTGTCCAACATATGCTGAATAGTAATAAAAGTACAACTGAAAAACATCAACGTGAAGCATAATTGTCCTTCAGATTCAGCTTATTGACATTGACATCCAGGGAGTCTTCCTTTAAACATTCAGCTTGGAAATGATCAAATCCAAACAAAATCTTCACAAACAATTCAAGCTAATGATAACAGATGTGTTTCAGCACCGAATGTTTTCTGGTTTCTCTCATCATGTTCAAACAGCATGTTTTAGGGGTTTCTTGGCTGTGGTGATATGGTCCACGGACACACAGCAGTCTGGGTGCTGGTTGACCCAATAAAAACTGGAAAAAAATTCTCCCTAAAGCAAATACTTTTCATGTTAAGCTAGCACTGGTTTCCGTTTGCCAGAGATGTTACAGCATTTCCCACAGTTCAGTGACAGTTTATCACGCTTGTCGTCACTTCAGCGTGATGCTGCAGTCTTCTAGCATTGCTGTCTGTGTTCACCTAGTAGGGTTTATTGCTAAAGTGCAAACAGCAATAACTGTATAACTCGCCTTTTTATTACACTAATAACTGACCAATCATGACGTGGTGATGAAGCATATGCAGTCTATTCCACGCACTACTAAAGTTTTCTTTTTCTTAAACGATCAATTCCAGAGGGGCGGAAAGGTGGGTTGTCAGAATTAACTACAATGTATGTGTTTGGAATTTCCACAACAAAAACAAATGTTTAAAAAAAAATTGATTTAAATGAACAGAATGTGATTTCGGCTGACAGACCAGTCACAACCTGAGCGAAGTTTTTCACACTAAGGGATTCATTTTTATTGCTGAACTCAGTTTTGGAGGAAGGGAGGAACAGAGGAAGAACTGGGAATTATTTCTGTCATAATCAATAATACAATAAAGACGGATATTGCACCAAGAAAATGCAGCGTTGCAGCAGCTGAGACAAAAAAACACATTTGGAAAAGTATAGGCCGACATAGATACAAAGAAAACATATGGTAGTCTCCACTATTGGCAGCCCCCCTGCTACAATTCCAAGTCAATCTGTTCATGAACTTATGTTCAGCTCTTGACCTCCAACATTCTGCTTAAAGTCAACATGAGATAGCCACATTTATTTGTCTTTGTGGTCCTTTTTTCCAGCATGTTATAGGACTGACTCTTAATCCAGTCCACAAGAATTTTCAAGAAGAAAGATATAAGTAACCAATCTTCACATTTAAGAAGCTTAAAGAAACAATTTTGCATTTCTGCCTGAATTTCATACTTTGGTTATCGAAATAACTGTTTTAGTCACATTGCATGATTTCTGTTTGTATTTCAGGTCTGACCACTTCAATGGAGGAACGTTGATTTTGTTGGCACAGGTCTATCCATCCATTGCCCATACTGCTTATTCCTGATAGGGCTGAGGGGGGGCTGGAGCCTATCCCAGCTGACATTGGGTGAGGGGCAGGGTACACCCTGGGCAGATTGCCAGTCCATCACAGTGCCACGCAGAGACAATTGGCACAAATATATCTTTTTTTTTCACTTTTGGTTTTTGTTGGCTCCGCTGGTATTTACTTGAAAGTGGCACAGAAGGAAATGGGGTAGAAAGGGAAAGAGAGGGGACTCAGGAAAGGTCCATGAGCTGGAACTGAGTCTAGACCGCCTGCACAGGACCAGATCCTCCATACATGGGCCACCTGCTCATCTCACTGTGCCTTTTATCCCTATGTATGGCAAATAAAGTTTTAATACACATCCACACGTGTTTAAAAAATCCTAATAAAAAAGATATACTGCACATTGAAACCCAAGCATGCCGAGTGTATGCGGCCATCACTCACTGTCATACAAAATAATTTAAAGTATTCTACCATCTATCACACACCATCTGCAAAATGTTTAAGGGTGACAGCATTTGGAGCCTCTACACAGTATATGTACAGTATAATTACACTCCTAACAGCTGTTCTCCCGGGCACTAAAACCTGCAATCCAGTCCAAGCGCAGTTGAAGACA